ACTTATTTACTTTTTCAATAATTTCACTTTTTCTCACTTTAACTGTAATTATTCTAAAATTTAACTTTTTAAAAATATAAAAATTAAAATATTATTTTTACATCAATAATGAAAATTTCCGAAGTATACAATTTTTACATTCTCATAAAAAAATGAGAAAGTCTTGGATTTGTGCGATTTTTTTTAATTTAATTATTTCTTAAAATTTTGTTTATGAATTCTTCCAAAGGACTTTATAAAATTTTTTTAGAGTTATAATTGCTGTGAAAATTTTAATATTTATAAAAATAATTCAATGTTGGAGAAGGATTTTATTTAAATTTTTTAAAATAACTGAATTTCTGAAAATAATTTTTTTATTTATATAAATAATTGAACTCTTGCGAAAAATGTATTTATTTATGAAAATAATTGAATTCTCACCTCACGTAGAATTTTATCAAAATTTTGTTTATAAATAATATTAAATTCTTTCGTGAAATTGTATTAAAATAGTAGATTTTTAAACTAATTGAGTTTTAGAGAATTTGATTATTTGCTAAAATAATTTATTTTTTTGTGCAAAATTCGTTTGTTTTTTAAAAATAATTCAATCGTTTCAAAGAATTTTATTAAAATTTTTAAGAAGAATTTTCTTATTACATTACCTGTCAAATTCATGTAAAAAATAGTACCTGGTGATTAAATTAATCTATTTGTAAAAATAGTAATAATAATAATCTATTGTTATTAATTACAGCTAATTTGTTATCTGACGGGCCAAATAAACTACTTTTTTTATTTGGCCCGTCTTGAAATGTATGGAACTGGGGTGACGGGCCAAATAATAAAAGTAGTAACTTATTTGGCCCGCTGACGGGCCAAATAGACACTCCGTTAATTTTTTGCTTTTTTATAAATATTTACAAAAAATATTTTATAATAAATTTTTTTCAGATAAATAAACATCAAAATATATTCTATGCAGAGTTTACAAACACATATTTGTTAAATAAATAATGTAAATAGAAGACTAACATTTATTTATGTATATATCTTTTTTTTATTTATTTATTTAAAAAATGTCTATAAATTAAGAATACAATATTTTTTAAAGATTGTATGTAAGTCTTAAAAAAATTATTGTTCACAAAAATATTTTGGGACGCCTGTATATTTCCGGAATTTAAAAAGTTCTAATCGTAGTTTTATCCATTTAAAAAGTTTTAAATGTTAATGAAGTGAGTTTATCATAGAATTTATTTTTCAGCAAATAAGCAAATTATCCGATTCGCATTTACTAAATAATATAATTTATTTAAGGGTAACACCATTCTAGAGCCAGAAAAAGAGACCTATATTTTTGATGATTTATTTTGAGAAAATGAAAAATAGAATTGGATTTCTTTTTGGAGGATTTATTAATTATACATATTGAAGTGTGGAAATTTTTTTTTAAAATTATATAACAAAATGGCGGTGGTAAATTTCATATTCAAAATCGACTATTTTTTATGGCCGGAAAGGTTTCTTGAAAAGTTTAAGTCCTGGAACAAAAAGTAAAGAAATTTTACAAACTAAATACTATAAACTTTGGAACTACATACAGATTTTTTAATTTGATGTAAACTTTATTTTTTATAAACAATTTACTTTTTATTACTCTTTGGCAAAAAATCGATTATTGTACCCAAAAGTGCGCGATTTTTACAAAAATTGATATATAAAAAACCCTTATGCACTTCCAAAGTTTACATGGAGAAAAATATAAAATAACTTTTACTACTTTTATAGTAAAAAATTTACCGGAAATTTTTTTCTATAAAAGTAGTAAAAGTTATTTTATATTTTTCTCCGTGTATATTATATACATCATGAAATTTCTTTGTTTTCTGTTCCAGGACTTGAACTTTTCAAAAACTCTTTCTGGACGTTTTGTTAAGAAAAAGATTAGTCGATTGTTACTATAAAATTTATCGTCGCCATTTTGTTATAAAATTTAAAATAAAAATTTTTTTCTTCACTTCAATATGTATTTAACAAACCCTCCAAAAAGAAAACCTATTCCTTTTTTCATTTTCCCAAAACAAATCATCAAAAATTGGTCTTCTTTTCTGCCTCTAGAGTGGTGTTAACCCTTAAATAAAATAATTTTTTTGAAGAAGAGTAATAGTTCTATATAAATGTTACAGTTAGGGGAAAGGTGTACGAGATGATCCCCTGGGGCAAGATGATCCTTTTAAATTTTGGAGAGCCTATTAGCGTAATCTTTTAGGCAAATACGGTAATAGGTTGTCAATGACATACCTATAAATCAGTCAAACTGTCATGACAACACGCGTCATTAAAAAAATTCTATTGTAAAAAATAAAAATTTCATACTTTTGATCTAAGGAAAGCTTAACTTTGTACTTAGATAACTTTTGTTGTAGCAGCTGAAATTCCATTTTTCTTGTACTCACAGCTTCAGTATATCTTCAATTAAGTGTTCTGATTGTTATTATGGAATAACAGAGCTCGTAGGTTAAGTTACGAACAAATTACAAAATAATGGCATTTGGGGCAAGATGATCCCTCAATGGGTGTACAAGATGATCCCCCCTGATTCCCATGTATTTCGTCTCACCTCAAAGTGAATTTTCTAGTATTAATAAAAAATTCAATTTTTCTCTCTTCTTATATGTTTTTATTATCAAAACTAACTTATTTCAAACAAAAAGTTGAAATCTACATCTATTTTATTAATTTTCTTGTTGTAGACAATGCCTCGTAATTATAAAATGGAAAAATGAATCTTGGTGAGTGTTCAAAGGCATTTATAACCTAAATAAAGCATATTTAATATTAATATATGTTATTTCTTCAATTTAGTCTCCTTTTCCAATAATTGGGGTAAGATAAACCTACGGATCATCTTGCCCATGCTAGGGGGATCATCTTGGACACCCCGGTGTCCAAGATGATCCTTTTGTAAGGTTTTAGAAAAATTAAATTTACTTGTAAAATATTAATTAGCTGCATACATTTCTAATCAGAAAAGTTAGATGGATTAATTATCTACTAGTTCGTACAAAACAAACTCAAAAATGCTGATTTTTCTTTGAATAATGGTCATTCTCCCTTAGGGGGATCATCTCGTACACCTTTCCCCTACTATAAAAGTTTAATCAAAATTATAATGTTGAATAATTTGAAATTTATTCATTTATTCAAATGCTGAATTTTTCAAAAGATAAGTTATTAAAATATTTATGATATGCAAAACTTTATTTTCTCGAACATTTATGAACTCAAATGTCCATAAAATATATTTTTTAATATTATTTTATAAATGTCATTTGACAGAATGTTTACTGTAGCAAATGTTAATTGCAAATAATGTTTTTATACTCGAATAACCAATTTTACAATGTTAAAGAATTGACTATTCTTCATTATAAAATATTATAGTCAATTATTGTAATAATAATTGGTAGTCAATTTTTTTAGATTAAAACTCCATTTTTTGGATTTTTTAACATTGTAAAAGTGGTAATTCGAGTATAAAAAAATTATTTGCAATTAACATTTGTTACAGTAAACATTATGTCATATGACATTTTTATAATCATTAAAAAATATATTTTATGGTAATTTGAGTTAATAATGGTTTGAGAAAATAAAGTTTTGCATAACATAAATATTTTAATAAGTTACCTTTTGAAAAATTCAGCATTTGAATAAATGACAACTAGATAATATAGAATATATAACAATTTTACCAGTTGAATTTTCATCTTCTTCAGGATTACACGGGTTTCAAATTATTCAACATTATAATTTTGATTAAACTTTTATAGTAACTGTAACATTTATCTATTACTCTTCTTCAAAAAAATTATTTTATTTAAATAAATTATATTTTATTACATTTAGACTTAACATATTAATGTCAGAAGCCATTTAAAAAAGTCCAAGAGGATTCAAGGCGGGGAAAGAAGTGATTTTTGTTTTTTAATTGTAATTCCGGGATTTTTGGAAAATCTACGACAAAAAATACAAAATCACTGCTTTCCCCGCCTTAGATCCTCTTAAAATCTTTTTAAAATTGCTTCTGATATTAAAATAAATAATTATCAAAAGAAAAAAATTGCTTCCAAGTCAAGAAAATTAATTAAACTAAATAATTAAAATAAATTAACAACTTATTTGAAATTTCGGAATTTTCGTCAAATCTGTGACAAAAAAAAATTCAAATTCACTGCATTCCCTGCCTTACATCCTCTTGAAATTTTTTCTAAATGGTTTCTGACATTAAAATAGATAATCGTGAAAAGAAAAAAATTGCTTTCAAGGCAAAGAAAGAATAATTTTGGTTTTAGTTGAAATTTCGTGATTTTTAGAAAATCCGTCACAAAAAAATACGAACTAATGTTTCCCCATCGTTTACATGAACAATTTTATTAAGAAAAATTTGTATCCTGAACTTTTCAGAGAAACATTTTTTCGTTGAATCAACATTGTTAACTTCAGTTTCATTTTTACTATATACAGATAAAATTTCTTTCATTAATTTATCGGGACGTTTTAGACTCTAAACATTTTATCCGGCTGACCGGCTATTTAGTTAGTATTTTACTAGCCGGACGTTTAGACCCAGCTGTGTTATGCAGCAAAACGTCCGGCTAGACAGTATCCGGACGAATTTATTGCGTCCGGCTAACAGTACCCGGACAAATTTTTTTATCCGGCTAGTCGGACGTATAGACGCAGTGTATTTTTATTTATCTCTATGTCGACTGTAAACTCTATATGTATATTTAAATAACTTCTTCCCTTAAATTTTTCTTAAGATTAATATTTTCGTTTTCTAAAATTAAACTTCATTTTACTTAAAAACAAAAGTATTTTTTTCATCTTTTTATAATTTTATAAACATAACCTAGATATAGGTATAAATATTAATTTACTCCATGTGGTATATATATATATATATATAACTTTAATTATTTTTGTCTATTGCATTTCAAGAAATTACTTACTTCTTTTAATTGAACAAGATTCCAAATGACTGAGATTGTAAATTTATTAAATATATAAATGTATATTTATTATCTCATTAATTATGCGGTTATATGAGATCAGTTGTTGTCAGTGTCAAACTGATTAAGACCTTTCTCTAAAGTCCAACGCACAATAGGTTCGCGAAAGTCGTTCGCGAACGAGACGCATGAGACAGACAAGGACACAAATATATCTCTGTCATTTTCTAACTCATGCTTTGCGTTCGCAAACGACTTTCGCGAACCTATTGTGCTTAGGCTGGAGTCCCATGGTAGCGTTTTGCGTTGCGTTTTGTAACTAGGCAATGAGTGCAAATAGAGCAAACATATATCTGTATCTCTCTCACACTCATGGTATAGTTACAAAACGCAACGCAAAACGCTGTCATGGGACTCCAGCCTTAGGCCTTCATAGGATATAAAGGTAAAGGCGCTTGCACACTTCCAATTTTTGGGCGAGTGAAGCCGTGAAAATTCTCACGTAAAGTTTTCTTTACGTGAGACTTACGCTTACGATTGCGGTTCCGGTTAGGGTGCAATCCCATGTGAGCAGAATACGTCGACCGAAAGCAGAAAATCATGAGTGCAAAAGAGATAGGTAGATATTGTTGTTCTTTTCACTCTCATAATTTTCTGCTTTCGGTCGACGTATTCTGCTCACATGGGATCGCACCCTTAAAGATTCTATTCTGCGTTGGCCTTCAGACTGCGTTGGTTCATTTTTGTTCAATTTTTAAAAGTTTTAATGTTAATTTTTCAATTTAATCATTTTTTAAATAAAGTTCTATTTTACTTAAAATATTTTTTTGCTTAAGTGTAAAATTTTCTATTAATTTAATTATATTTTTAATTACAAATTATATGTTATTTATTATTTATTTAGTAGTAAAAGAATAATTTGTTACGTGCGGAGTTACGTTATTTACGCGCAGGCGTAAAATCCGCGATTTGATTCGATGTTCAATCTTGGTTTAATCCTTTGAAAAGGAAGGCGGAAATATTCAAAATAAAACAAGTGAATTTCCGTTAAAACGGAGGGAAAAACCTCACGAATAAGAAGGATCAATTAATAATTAATAATATTAATTAATCATTAATCCAACCAAATTCGCGAGTAAACCCAATACATTTATTAAAGTCAAAACATTACACAAATCGAAGTTATTCTAAAAGCTATTTTGGGACTACTCTGAAGTACATTACGAAAGAACTCCAAAGTAGAACTAAATTCGTGAGGGAGCATTTAGCCCTTGGTCCATGGCAAAATCTTTGCGCATGCCCTGTTATAGAGTTTGTAAAGTCTATGGAGTGTTCAGAATCACAACACCAACACTGCACTGCACTAATACACGTATAAACATACTCTACGTATTGAAAACATGTATCACAACAAGTGAACATAACCCTTTTTCATTCACACTAATTACACAATTATTAATTATTTACATCATATCTAGTAACAATAAATCTCTTATACTGCACTCATCATATTTAAATATAAATAACAATTATAACGATAACCAATTTGATAATATATCATAATATAATATTATTATTATATTAATACTTTACAAATATATATTTATATTCAATACCATAATATTACAACACTCAATTAGATGAAGTTTACTAATAATATCATTTTCAAATAATACATTCATATTGCATAATTAGCAACAATATAATATTATTGTCAATTGTTCATAATGTTCATATTATACAATTGATAATTAAAGTTCGTCGCATAATGAAAGTCTATGCACTGTAAAAACAAAGTCTTCCTTTAAGCCAGAAATTTGTCTTTTTTCAAGGTGTAAACGGAAGTAGACCATATTGGCTGAATGTCAGTAATGATTAGAAGTTTAAAAAGAATACTCCCCAATTGATACAAGTAAGGTGTTAAATGAACTGAAATTCAATTGTAAGCTAGTAAGAAGGCTAAAATTCAGCCAAACCATCTAGCCAAATTTCAGCCTTCTTACAAGCTTACAGTTGAATTTCAGTTTATTTAACACCTTACTTGTATCAATTGGGGAGTCTTCCGTTTACACCTTGAAAAAAGACAAATTTCGAGCTTAAAGGCGGTGTCAAAGTCGATGCGATTTTTCGATTGAAGCTCAATGCAAAAATCCAATCGACTTTGACACCGCCTTAAAGAAAGACTTTGTTTTTACAGTGTATGTTCATATTCTTGAATTTTATTAAAATAAACATATGTCACATTTAATTTCTTATAACAAACAACAATTATTAAAACTATCAGTGGAAATTTCTCTCTTTAAGATAAAGAATTAAATGCTAATGCACATATATATTAGGTGAAATTAAAATTATAAAATGTTTATAAACTTGTTTATAATCGAATTAAAATATTAACATACTAATAAAACTAAACTTTCTGTCTAAGATTCACCAATTATAAATAAATTTATGGACTTATATATTATTAATAAAACACGAGTCAAAAGTAAACCGGCGACGCGACGCGCTATTCAGACTTTTCACGTTTGCAAATTGCGTCCCTTGTGACGTCACAATCAACTTTTTCAGCCTCGCCAGACTTACAGTCAGCTGTTAGCGTACCTTATTAGAAGTTAATTTCATCCAACTTTTTATTAATACCATTGGATCTGAAATTAAGTCCGGTGTATTACAAATAAATTACAAACTGAGTTTTATTTAAGTAAGAGTACAACTAACTTTAATTTTCAGTTAGTTTTTATGATTAAATAAAGTTGATAGCTTAAGATAAGTCAAAAATTAAAACTAGCCACCATTAAATTTAAGACTTTGTTTTTACTGTGTGTGTACGTGACTTTTCGAAGCCATTTCTGTGGTCACAAGTATGGTAAACACATGTTGCATTGTCCTATGGAAAAGGACACTTGAGATATTTTTTATATTCTTTCGAGGGCTTCTCGGTTTTATGACTCTAAAGAAACTAGAGATTACATTTTCTTTCGCTATTCTACTTGATTTATGACAATTCTAAGAAATGTTGATTTTCAAATACATATTCAGAATTTGGAAACTATTAAACCGTGAAGTATTATATTTTACAATAGTCAAACTTTCTTGTTTAGTCTCGTCAATATTTGTCTAAAGTCGTGAGAAAATACTAAAAATAATTAAGTTTATTAACGAAATGTTATAATTCGCGCTTCGATAACTCGTAAATCGATATATCGAAAGTTAACGAGCGAGATGGTAGTCGCTCGTAACAAATTTCAGACTGCAGCTCCATCTCTTAAGTATATGTGAATTTTTAATGTACTACAATTTCATTTGGAAACATGAGTTCGCCCTTCTATTCATATTACCGATGCTTAATCTTTTCGATACTTTTCGAGTTAATAAAAAATAATAAATAATAAATGCCACTCAATAGTGCAAAACAATATTAAAATAATATTTTCTCCATAAATATAAACGAAAATAACTGCCTGAATTAGTTCTTTGGACAATCGAGGTTCCACTGTATATTTTTATTTTTGTATTCAGATTTTACTTTTATTATGTTGGCATTTCTAGTTGCTGCCATCTTGAAAAGACGCTCAAGTCATAACGCGGCGTACCTTTTTTGTAAAGCATAAAGTACTATGCGGTGTTGATTAATCAGTCATTTAATTTAATTATAAGTACAATTGATCACTTAGATTAATTTACATTGCATATGATGATAAGTGAACATTATTAACAATGTCGACTGTTATATCGTGTGTAATAGAAAAACGTCAGTGGTTTTAAGTGAAGTCTTTCCCTGAATGATTGTTGTTTGTAGGTTATAAAGATTGGCATATATCTTTTGTTCATTTCAACGAAGATGAGAATAATTTGATTATGTTTATTAAAATACATTAACGAAAATGAATTTCACCGATGAAACTAATATTCAAATTTCGTTACCACAATTTTCGGAAATAACTTCTCGATCAAATTCAGGAGGATATATTTCGAGTAACGCTGATTTACAAGCAGCTGCAAATGCTATTTCAGCAACAAATCAGTCTAAACAATTTATAGTAAGTGTTTTTAAATTTTCCAATTGTTTTTAAAAAAATAAAATATTTTCGGTTTTATTATCACTGCTATTAGTTTCATGTAAATATTTTCTTGACTTTAATTATTTAATTATAAATTAAATTTAAAATTATTTTAAAAGGTTAATTCTTCAAGCAAGTATCCTGGATCAATTTTAACCTGGCCAGATCCAAATACTTTAATTCAACTTTGCGAAAAACAAGGCATTCAATCCATCAACATTCCTAACTACTCTCAAACAGTTAGTAATAATGCTTCAATTTTAGGCATTCAATCAAACAGTCTCCCGCTAAGAATTATTCCAAATATAGCGGAGATAAAATCAGAAAATGTGCCTGGAAATTCTAATTCGGTAATAATAATATTATTCTTTATGAATTTTAATTATTTAGTTATGTATCTTTCAAGTCCAAATAACAATTTTTTAATTTTTTCTAATTAAATTTTTGGAATATACAATTAAAAAGATTTTGAATAATTGAAATTTTGTAAAATTTAATTGAAAATTTTTGAAATAATTGAATTCTCGAAAATTTTAATGAAAAGTCTTGAAGTATAAATTTAATAAAAATGAAAATTAATGAAAATTAGGTTGTAAAAATAATATTAAAATATTTTTGAATAAACTAATTCTCAGAATTTTTTCATTCTAATTTTTTAAAATCCAATTATTTTTAATATTTCCAAAAAATCAAATAAATACATTTTGGAGAAAAAAATCATGTTCAAAATTTTTAATTAAAATTCATCAAAAAATTAATTAGTTTTTTTAAATTATACAAAAATTATTTTTAGAAATTCAATTATTTTCGAAAAGTTACATTATAATATTTATAAAAAACTAATTCTTCGAATTGTTTTATCATAATTTTTTAAGATTCAATTACCTACCTTGGAACAAAGTAAATTAAAAGTTTTTAGAATTATAATTATTTTTCAAAAACTACCAAATTTTCAATTAATTTTTAAAAGATTTTACCAAATTTAAATTTTTTGCACATTTTTTAATTGTACTATTGTAACTATAAAAATATTTTTTTTCAAAAATTATTTAGAAATATTTTTAAAAAATTAATTTTAAGAATTTCTTTATTAAAATTTTTGAAAATATTCTACCTTAATACCTATCTTTAAAAAGAAAAATGGACAGTTTCAATTATAAAAAATTGAATTTTTGTATTAAAATAATTGAATTCTCGAATAACTTTCAGAAAATTATTAAAAATTAATATAGATAATTGATTTAGAGATGAAGTTTAGTTCAGAATTATAAAAAATAATTTTTAGAAATTAATAAATTTCAGAAGTTGAGATTTTAAAAATTTTTATTTCCCGCGAAAAAAGAAATGAGAAGTATTCAAATATTTATTTAGCAAAATTATTCGAGTTTTGATTAATTGAATTTAGAAATCAGTGAAGAATCAGGAAAATACAAAATAAAATTTGTTGTGACAACACTGAATTAAACAAACGACTTTTTCGACTTTTTTCCTATTTTTAATCGACTAAAGCGACTTTTTTGGCTCGTTAAAGTCGATCCGAGACCTGAATAAAAAATAATATGTTATTAACTTTAGAAAAATTATTTACTTATTCAGACGAATTGCCAAATACAACTTCAACAGCAAACGGTCACAATGACAGAATATCTCCAAAAATTACAAGCAACAACATTACCATTTGCAACGTTACAACAATTAATTAAATTGCAAAGTGAACAAATAAAAAAGGAGAAAGAAGATGAGGAGCAAAAACTTGAACAAACACAAAGCAGTATTCTTAATATTCCCAGTGTTGCAGGATTTCGAAATTCTCATTTACAAAATGGAAATCATTTTATGAATCCCGATCATATGATGATAGCAATAAATCCCAGTGATCTAAATGTTCATATCGAGGGACAATCAGAAAGTGACTGTAGTTCACAGACTGTTATTGTTGATCAACAAATACAAACCGAATCACCGAAACCCGAAAAAAAGATGAAATTCAGGGCGAAAACTGGAGAAATTAAAATCACAATGGCCATAGACGGTTCAACTCTTTACTGTTGTCCTGAGTGTAATCTTGCATTTGCCGATAAAAGTGAAATTGAACAGCACATTCAAGGCCATATACAGGTATACAAATTTAAATATTCATATATTTTTTTATTCAATCAATATTATTATACATTATCATAATTGTATCGTTTTATAGAAATAATAAAAAATAAATAAAATAACTTTTATCTTGTAGGAAAGAAAATATCAGTGCAAAGAATGTGGTGCGATGCTTAAAAGGAAAGAACATCTGGATCAACATATGCGCGGTCATTCAGATGAAAGACCGTTTAAATGTCCAGTTTGTCAAAAAGCATTTAAACGAAATGAACATTTGACAAGGCATTATGTCATTCATTCAGGTGATAAAAATTTCACCTGTAACGTCTGTCACAAAGCTTTTTCAAGGAAAGATCATTTAAATAAGCACGCGCAAACACATTTAGGCATCAAGAGAACCAAAGCCAAGACAAAAGACATATTATTCACCGATAGAGATTCTCTTGATAAAATTGCCGAAATGTCCAGTGCCATTCCAAAACAAGACATGAATTTCGTATTAAAGGATGGAAATTTCATTAAACAAGAAACAACATTACTTCAACACATCCAAAGTTTTTCTGCACTGAAAGACGCTAGTATTTTTCAACAGCAAGCCGTCAACATGAATGAAATTTTACCACAAAACACCAGGTATTTAATGCCATCTTAGTTCTAGGGGAAAGGAAATTTTCTTCAATCTTTTAAAAGAATATTTTTCTCGCTATTTAGGACTTTTTAAATTTTCTTTACAAAAATGAAAAATCTAAAGTGCATCAAAGTTTTTATTCGTGATTATATTAAAAAGAAACCAGTCATAATTATGTGATTGATGTTTATAAAAATGAGGAATATTTTAAAAGGTCAATTTCAATTGAAATTGAGACTCTTACAATTTAATAAAAATTTCATTGCATCTAAAGTATCATTATAGGAATAAATATTTTCTAATATTTAAATAAATATTAGAGTGAGAATAAATTATGTGATAGTTGTAGCAAAGTATCCAAAATATGTGAACCAAAACTTGACTGTTACTGAAGATTTCAAAATGATAATTGTCACATTTAATAATATACTAAGCGAAAGAGAAGCTTTTCTTTAATTTTAGACTACATTTCACTTTAAATATTTTATTAAGAATTTTTTTGAAAGTTAATAACCCTTAAGTGCCCAGAGTTACACTGAAATCAAGAAAAATGACAGGGAATTTTTTTAGACCGGGAAAAATCAGAAAATGACAGTAAATTTTTATCTTGACCGGGATTTATTTTGTCAGGGAATTTTGTCAAAAGTACTATAAAAATATTCAATTTCTAGAAATTATAAGAAAATTATGAATTTTATTTTTTAATGTAACAGACTTAAAAAAAGAAAATATTAAATTTAATTTTAAATTCTTTTTATTTCTAAGAATAATTAAACAAAATATAATTTTAATTAAATTCGTCGAAAAAATTTGGAAGAGAAAAAATTTCACATTCTATAAAATAGTAAAAAATAAATCAATTTATAAATTTTTTTGCAATAATGTTATCACAAAACAAATTTAAATTAGTAAAAATTTGCACTAATTAGAACAAAAGTGATACGAAATTTATAAAAATTAATTTTTAAATAATAAATAAAGTAAATAAAAAATAAAAATAAATAAAATTTTATTTCTTAGAAATTTTTTTTATAAAAAACCGTATTTTGCATTAATATCAATTCGTTTGTTACAATTATTCATAAGCAACTTTTTCAATATTTTAGAATATTAAATTAATATTACTATAATATTAATATAAATTGAATTTTAAAAAGTTTCAAATTAAAGTTTTAAAAAAGTTGAATTGTAAAAGATTTTAATTGAAAATTTGGAATAAGTTAGTTTTTTGAAACATTTTTATTCACATTTCTTTTCAAATTAGTTATATAATATTTAATTGAAAAACTTTCAAATTATTCAAAATTTCATGAAATTGTCTTTTAGAAATATTTTAGTTCAAATTTCTAGAAAATAATTGAATTGAAATTTTGAAAATAATTTTCAATAAGTTACAGTAACAATTCTCAAAAATTATTCTATTTTAAAAGATTTAAAATTTGAATTTTTTTAAAAATCTTAATACCTTTGAAAAAATAATGGATAATAATTAAATATTTATTTCAAAAAATCTATTTAAGTTCCAAATGATTTTACAGTTAGATATTCAAAAAAATATTATAAACATATTCTGGAGTTTCAATTATTTTTAGAGTAAACTAAAATATTTTTAGAGTTTGGGAAAAAGTCAAAGTTTTGTCTGAAAATTCGGGAATTCTTTCAATCTTTCATAGAATAATTTATTTTCAGAGTTATTCTTTATGACCGGGAATTGACCGTGCATTTTTTTTTATGAAAAAAGTGGTCACCCTGTCTTGATATTATACAAACAAGACTCTAAAACTATGATAAAATTATGAAATAATTTAACAAAATACACTATTAATTGTTTCTATTCTCATCGTTTGTAGGATTTAAAAAAATGCAATTTTAATCAATAACAACTTATTCTCTTAAGAAAGAACTGAATAAACAATCTGGAATATTATATATTTATATAGAAATTAGTTTGATTAAATGAACCAACCATTTCATTCTATTTGTTTACTTTTAAAATAAGAGTAAATTGAAAGCAAAATTGATTCATTCACCCAGACAAGTATTTATTAGAATCAGGAATTAATTTTGTTCAATTTATTCTTATTTTACGTGTATAAAATATTTGGTTAATTTAAAAAAAATTATTTTTTGATTTAAGAAAAAATAGTTGCATTGGGCACTAAAGGGTTGAAAGCCTCCAGTGAAAATTGTAAAAATTTGTAGAATTAATTTTTTATAAATGAATATCGGGTAAATGCCTTATACCCACATTAAATTGATATTAATATAATAATAATTACACTACTGGCTGTGAGCAGCTAAACATATTGCTTGCTCTTCGTTATTCTTTTACGTAATCTTCTATTTCCTAATTGAGTACCTGCATGCAACAACTCGCCGAGCGCTCGGACGCAAGCGCTAGTAACAGTCGGGGAGCAGTGATCGCCTCTGCGCCACTCACTGTTGAGTTGAGTTGTTGCATGCAGGTACTCAATTTTATTTACCATTAATTATATGGTTTAAAGTGCGTTTGTGAATATTGTATATGTGACTTGTAATGAGAAAACCGACTAAACTGTCATAAATTTAGATTTGATATATTTTTTATATGAGTTGATAAACCAATTCTTTTATTTAGGTCGCGATGTTTTAAAATAATTATTAATTTATTATTATAAAACATCAAACATGAAGATAAAGATCACTCAGAGTCAAAGAATTTAAAGTAAATAAAATAGTATTCTTTATAAGTCGACAGCACAGCCGTCCTCTTCAGGAACTATATTTATAAAAAAATCATTACATTATTTTTAATTTTTTAAAATGTTATTATAAATATTAAAAAGGGGACACAAAAATTACCAAATTAATATTTACACCTAATATTTAAAAAATATCTAATAATGTAATGATTTTTTTATAACTGTGCTGCCGAAACATGAAGAATAGTCTTTTGCTTATTTTATATTCTTTGACTCAGAGTGATTGTTATCTTCATGTTTTATAAAATTTAAAAATGACGGATTGACATAATCATCATTAATAATTATTAATTAAATTCAAAGTTAATTGTCAGTTACAAATTATTTATTTGACAATTAATAGTAATTATTTAAATTAATAACTACATTGAAATCTCTCATTCCAGGTCACATATTGAATATTAAGGGGAGAGAACAAATTGAAAGATATGATTAATTTATAATGAATGATACGAAACTAAATTTGTTTTTTAATAGTTGGCAGAATTCACTTTAATACACAGTGGCGTAACAATATTAAAGGTTTAGTTTTAAAAAAATTGTTGTTTTATTAAGAACATGAAGGGGGATAAGGAGACGAAACGACCTATATTTATTGGCCCTCATACAATATATTATATAAAAAGTAGTATCAGGTTATGTTAAGAGCATGAAGGAGTTTTATAACTGAAATTGGAAATATAAATGAAAAGTAAGTATTAAATATTAAATTCATGATTAAATTTACATTATGTTAATATAAAAAATTTATTCATCTCTTCACTTCAAAAATATTTACGTTATATTTATATTATTCTCATCAGTTCACGTGACCAAATAGATAAAAAATTTAAATTTACCACAGTGAGCGCTGTAACAAGTCAACTTTTTCCGCAATATATGCCATAGGCGTTTCATATGCTTATCCTCCTTCATGATTAAGAAGAAGCACCATGGAAATTTCAACTTATATAAATTACCATTGTTTTGAGACGCCAATTTACTTTTTTTTTTGCTGTTTTAGAATTTTGAATATAGACATATATTATTAAAATTGGTGAAAAATATTTTTTTAACTATTTTAAAATTATTTAAAAAATGGAAAATAATGAAAATCCATGGGAGTAAATTTATTTAAAGAGAAAAATATTTTTCTTCAAATTGTTTATTTTAAAGATTGCGAGCTTCATTGACGTTAAAAATTAAGAATCCCTTTACTGTACCAAAATTGAGATAATTGGATTAAAAATTTTCAACTTTACATAAAATTATATTAAAATTTTAAAAATTTAAAAAATATTGAATTAAAATAAATTTTTTCAAGTATGTATGAAAGTAAGAGAAGTGTCTAAAATAATTTGAGAAAAATAAGTTGTTACCCTTGAATAATATAAAAATTTTCAAATTGAAATTCACTTGTGCTTTAAATAAAAAATATATAATTAATATCATAATTTTTTTTATTGTATGATCAAACAACACTTAGTTTATAATTTAAGGAACATATAGTTTTCAAAAAGATAGTTGCTGCGCCTCTGGATTTACTTTTTGAAAATGAAAATTTAATTTTTTTTTTAGTTCTGTAAGAAATTTGCAAAACATAAAATAAAATTGTGACAGGTTTTGCTTCTATTTTTTTAAATTTGCAGTTAGTGTGCAACGAAAAAAATAAATGTTTTTTTTTAACAGAATCTAGTCCACGTGATTACAGAATTATAAGGTTAACATAATTATTATGAGTGGTTAATTCTAGATTTAGGATCATTTTTCCTTGCTCGTGATTAGTGAATTTTTATTAAAATTTATTTTCCTATGAGCGTACTTAGAAATAATTTAGCGTATGTATTTTACCATTTAAGATTTTTAGAATATTATCGTTTATGTATTAGTCTGTCAATTGAACGAAATATAAAATTTAATGAAATTAATCATATAAATAAGTTCAGGATATAATGAACTTTAAGTAAAAAAATAATACGCAATTTTTAATTTTTGGTTACAAATGTTTCCCTTTAAGGTTTTTAAAAACTTGTATTCATTATTTCCACGTTAGTTATCAGTATTTTTGTTCATATAATTTTTAAAATTGTTTTAAATTAAGTGAAAGGGTTTTCAAATAAAGTTCATTATAATAGTCACACTGCAACCGCATTAGAAAAAGAATTGTATATAATGAAATTTACAATATCTGGAAATTAGTTTCTAATAATTTATTTATATAAAAGATACCCGTTTTCTTTAAAATAAGATATTGTACAAACCCGTAAGGCTGAAGTTAAAAAATTGACATTATATATTTTGTCAATTGATTAATCATATCACGTAATTACGTCATACGTGTCCACGTGTATAGCTGACTGTCAACTGTGCGATATTAATGCTTCTCTTGGTTCTTAAATGCAATTTCATAATAATATTCACAATTGCTATTTTAGATTTTCTTCAGTCATTAGAAATTAAACTGATCTCAGTAAAATAAGTAATTTTTTTTCATTATTATAGAAAATTTATAATTTTAAGTTTAAGATATAAGTCATAAATGTTGGTTTTTAAATATATTTTTTATCTTGATATGAAATTAGTGGAATTTTAATTTGAAATAATGAATGAATATTAAATTTCAGAAAAATTTTTTAAACTTTGCCTTCTTGCATTCCGATAATTTGGATTGTGATTATCGAAATATTGTTTGTACTTTAATTATATCTATTATATTTCAAACAAAACAAACAACAAGACTTGTCATTTAATAATCAGGCAGTCCATTACGTAAACATTAACTTAAAATCATTTGCGCAGTTTTACATTATTATTGTCAATTGTACAATATGAATGTGCGTAGGAAAGAATAAAAACACATTACGTTTGTCATTAAAAATGACATAATTAAGACATGACGTATTTAAATTATAATAGAACCAAAGACTTTGCATTATTGTAAACGCCAGTATTTGAGCCTCTTCCTCGATTCTATTATAGAATTTTCTTATTCAAATATTAATTGTTCGCTATAAGCCATTATATTTTTAATCAGCGTTTTGTACGTCCTTTATATTGAGATTTTCTAGATTAAGAGTATAAGACTACTCCTCCGCTAAATAATTTGGATATACATATAATGTGCATTTATTGAACGATGTATTTTATCTGATAAAAACGATCGTTATTGCGTAGCACTAAAAAAAATAAATGACAAATAAGTGACATGTATTTTTCAAACTGAGATATTTTTGAATAAAAGAAGAGTAGTAAAATAGAATAAAATTTGTTTTTATTTATAGGATATTTACAATTATATTTTATACCATTTTCATTCTGGTCTATCTTATTCTAACTTTTATTTATCCATCGACTGTCATTGCGACAATTAGAGTTCCCAACAACCTTTGAATACCAAGTTTCATAAAAATTCATTAACAAATTTTTTAACACACTTTTGATCTGAAAAGAAGAAATCTCGTCTGCAGACAAAGAGTTAAGTTACATTATAATGTTATCAAGTAACGTTTATCATTATTCTAGACTTATATCCACACTTTTGTTATCATCTGCAATAATTAATTTGTAATCCTTATAGTGCCACAAATTAGATTTTCTTAGACTCCACCAAGCTTTATAACCTGTTTCATAGAATGGCGGTAGAGGATTAAATCCACCAGCCTTTGCTAAACTATTATTAAACGACCATTGTTGTTCAGCAAGAGCATGAGCATGTCTTTTTTTCTCCGTTTTCAATTTTGAATCCTCCATCATTTCGTTTTTTGCTGGTAGAATTAACTCTCCCTTGAAATAAGCTAAAAAATACTGGGCCTAAAATTAAATTATGTTTTTTAATTCTTAAAATGTGTTAAAGCTAATTTATTAGTGCAATTTTTCTTAGTTGAATTCAGTTTTCATTGTTAAATTTAACTATACAGGTCTCGAACTAGATCCGTAAATCCCGTAAAAGTCCGCAACTTTGCTTCAAGTCCGTAAAAGTCCGTTTTTTAAAAAAAGGTCTGTAAAGTCCGTAATTTTATTGATAAAGAACAAAAAGTTTGTAAATTGTACGATATAATTTGGATAATTTTAAAGAGATTACAAATGATTGCAGAAATTCAATTATTTTTAAAAGTAATAAAATTCTTCGCAGAAATTCAATTATGTTCAAATTCAATGATTTGTATATCTATTATTTTAATAAAATTTCCCAAAAGAATTCCATTATTTAAAAAAAAATTTAATAAAATTCTACACAAACTTTTAATTATTTTCAAAAAATAATAAAAATTTCACAGAACTTTCATTAATTACAAATTTTTTTTATAAATTTCATCGCAATCATTTAATTATTTTCATAAATAATATGGGCACCGAAACGTAGATATCAAAAAACAAACAATTGGGATCCTGGCATAGGGTCTAATAATAATACATAATTTATGACGTTAAAAATTTTGTTTAAAAAATTTTTTTAAACAATTTGTTATAAACAAATAAAGAAAAATTGATTATCATATAAAACTAATAACGCCATTCGATTCTACGCGAAAAACTACTACGAGAACATATGTTGCAAAATTTAAAAAAAAATTGGACAAGTGCGAGTTGTACTCGCACTGCAATGGCGGGTTCCGCACACAAATATTAAAACAATACTTGCAACATTGATCGGTAATTGGTAGAATTGAAATAAACAATTATAAAAATATATTAAAATCATTTGATAAAAAAAAATAACTAAAAAAAATTAAAGTATTGTATATATCTAATATTGTAAACAATAATAAGCAGAGGAACAAAATTTTCAAAATTTATTATAGTTCCTCTGCTTATTATTGTTTACAATATTAGATATATACAATACTTTAATTTTTTTTAGTTATTTTTTTTTATCAAATGATTTTAATATATTTTTATAATTGTTTATTTTAATTCTACCAATTACCGATCAATGTCGTCAGACTGTAATAATACACTAGGATACCAATTTTCAGCTCATTAGGTCAAATAATGTAAAAGTTAGGAAAAAAAATTTTTTTTTAAAATTTTTTAGTTTTTCCTTGACAACGCTATGGCCATCATTACATATCAAGTTCTGTATATTTTTCCTGTAATATTCGAGTAAAAATACACCAGCATGCAAAATTTCAGCTCTCCATGTCGAATAGTTTAGAAGTTAAGGGGGGGGAATGGTCACTTTTTATGCATTTTTGGCCAAAAATCTTGTTATTTCCTTGACAACGCTATGCCCATCACGTCCAGTCACATTCGCTATATTTTTCCTGTAATCTACGTGTGAAAATACATATCTGTACCAAATTTGAGCTCTTTAGGTCAAATAGTTTAGCCGCTAGGGGGGGGGACGGGACACGATTTGGCTACGGACAACAGAGTCTCACCAATAGGGTTCCGCCGATACACCGCAGGTGTACGGAACCCTAAAAAAGACCTATTGTTATAAAAATGTTATAAACAATTAGCCTGCATATACAGTACGAAAACCTAGCACGTCAGTCATATCCCATGAGTGGGAGTGAGACAGACTTATGCGATTCCCATACTTTTCTATGACTGACGGATAGCTTTTCTTACTGTATACTCGTTCCAGTCCATGGACACAGAAACGCAGATATCACAAAAACAACAATTGGGATCCTGGAATGGGGTCTAATAATAATTTTTGACGTTAAAAATTTTGTTTAAAAAATTTTGTTTAAACAAATTAAGAAAAATTGATTTTCATAAAAAACTGATAGCGCTATTCGATTCTACGCAAAAAACTACTACGAGAACATATGTTACAACATTTTTTAAAAAAGACCTATTGTTTTTTCGATATCTGCGTTTCTGTGCCCATGGACTGGAACGAGTATATATATGCAGGCTAATTGTTTATAACATTTTTATAACAGGTGGATTCCACGTCAGTTCAACACACTTATTTTCATGACTTGTTGGGATTTGGCTGTAATTTTGTAAATTTATTACTTTTATAGTGATAAACAACTCCACCAAATATTTTTTCAAAATTTTGAAAATTACCACACTCAGAAAAAAATTTGTTCGAAACAACCAAATTTTGGTTGAATGAACCAAATAAATGCATTGCTATACAGTCAACCAAACGTTTGTTTGATTCAACCAAATAATTTGTTCCAATACGTTTATTTGTATTAACCAAATGGTTATTACACTTAACCAAAAATATTTATTTAATATAACTAAAAAATTTGTTTATTTTAAGAGAAAAGATTTGTTTGATTTAAATAAATAGTTTTAGTAAACGTATTTGGTTCATTTAAATAAATATTTTTGTTTACTTAATTTTTTTATTTATCTTCTTCTAATAATATTTGAATTTCCCAATTTAATATTTTCTAGTACATATTATTGGTTAATTTATAATTTATTATGTAATTATTGATATTTTAAAATTATACATATAATAAATTATAAATTAACCAATAATATGTATACTAGAAAATATTAAATTAGGAAACTCAAACATTATTAGAGGCAAATAAATAACAATCAAGTAAAATATTATATATTTCTTCACATAAACAAAATTACTTAATTATAAAAACACATTTAAAATATTGCATTAAACATATTATATTATGATTTTTATACGTGCACTCAGGAAAAAGTTTTTTCGAAACAACCAACTGAAAACTTCACAAAACCTTTTTGTAAATATTCTTCTCACTGGTACAAAATTAAATATGCAGTAAGTCTAAAATGAACACAATGTATTTAATATTTATTTAACCGTCACTTATAATTTTGTTTCTTTGATTTACCGATTTAACTAATAAATTTGGCGCGAACGCAGATTGTAGACAAGTAAGATCGCCATTTTTAAATTCACACATGTACTTTTTGAGACAAGCAAATATTTTTGTTTGAGTCAAATAAATTGATTTGGTTGAATCAAACAAATTTGTGTGTTGTGTCGAACAAACTGTATTTAACTAAACAATATTCTCTATTCAAAACACAAATTTGGTTAAATGAAACAAACAACTTCAAATAAAAAATTTCTTTCCAATAACCAAACAAAATTTTACGTATTTATTAAAATGAACCAAATTTCTATTTAAATCAACAAAATTGTTTTATCGTGACAAATAAAATAGGTTAATTAAACAGTTTGGTTAAGTGAAATAAACTTTTTCTCTGAGTGCAAAAATATGTCATTTTCAAAATTTTTGTCTTTTTTTTAAAAGTGCTATAACTTTTGTTCTAATTAACCGATTTTGGATTTAAAAAAAGGATTTCTTTGGTTTTAAGTATATTTTAAGTTAAAATTAATATAAAAAAAAATTCAAACAAATATTTTTTTTGAAATTTTGAAAAATTAAAAATCCGTTTTTGAAAAAACATCATCTTCGATTTTTTTCAAAATTTTACTAAATGTTAGGGCAAATGTGCTTTACATGTCCTGTAAATTTCATCTTGGGATCTCAAAGGGATTCGGAGTAAAAAAATAAAACGTAACTACAAATTACGAACACATGGGGCAAAATTGCTTAACTGCCCAGGCAAAAAAATGAATTTTCTCTAAACTTTGCTCAAATGTTACTATTATTAGTAGAAGTGTAAATATTAATTTTTTTTTAATTTTATAAAATATTTTTTGAGTTATGGAGTTTCAAAATTTTGATTTTTTTGAAAATATCTTTTTTTCCATTTTATATATTGATAAGTAAAATTAATGAAATTTAAAGTATGAATAGTGATTTTTAAAGAGGTTTTCACGGGCTATAAGCTGGTGATGAAAAAAAGTTGTTTCCTGTCAATTTGACCTTGACAGGGTGGCCACCGGACTTTGAAACCTTGAAAACCTTGAAATGGACGTGAATTTTGTCAAACCTTGAAAAAACCGTGAATTGGACGTGAATTTTTTTTAAAAACCTTGAATTTTAGTATTATATATTATTATATATTATTATATATTACTTTAAATTGTATTATAAATAATTGAAATCCTCAGAAAAATTTTATAATTTATGAAAATAATGGAATTCTTACAACGAATTTTATTAATTTTTTTTTAAATAATTGAATTCATGTGGAAAATTTTATTACTTGTAAAAATAATTGAATTTATGCAACGAATTTTATTACTTTTTATTGAAATAATTATATTCTTTTGAAAACTTGTATTAAAAATGTAAATTTTGAAAATTTTTGAATTTCAACGAAGAATTTCATTATATTCGTGAAATGTAATTAAATTCTTACATAAAAATTGGTGAAGATAATTTTATTTTTCGAGAAATTTATTTAAAATTCTATTAAAAATATTTGAAACCATGTGAAAAATTTTATTGTTTATGAAAATAATTGAATTCTTGCAAGGAATTTTATTATAATTTTTGTAAATAATATAATTTTTTTTTTGAAAAATTTTATGGAAATTAAAATTTTTATAAGTTGTTGAATTTTAAAAATGTTTAAATTTGAATGTTTTGAAGAATTTTAATTCCTATGGAAAAATAATAATTAAATACTTATTTAAAAATTTAAATATTGATGTTTGCGAATAATTTTACAATTTAAGAAATTCGTAAATAAATGTAATAGAAAGTTTCTTTGAGTGTCTAATAATTTTTAGAGTGAATCAGAATATTCTTTATGGTCACACAGTGGGACAGAATCAGTAAATCCTGGTCAAAATATGAAAACATGTTTTAAATCAATTGTAACTTATTACTCGGGGGTTTTTAGGGTCGCTGATTACGAATCTGACATTATTTTTTCAAAATTTAAAATGGCGGATCCAATATGTCTGTGTCAGCCATATTGGATCCGCCATTTTGAATTTTGAAAAACCGACATCAGATTCGTAATCGGCGACCCCAAAAACCCCAGAGTAACGAATTTCAAGCGAATCCGATGAATTTTTCAAAAACGTGTCCGCCATAGTGGATCCGCCATTTTGAATTTTTGAAATTAGACTTTAAATTCGTAATCAGCGACCCCAAAAACTCCCGAGTAACGAATTTCAAGCGAATCCGATAAACTTTTCAAAAATGTGTCCGCCATATTGGTTTTTTGAGGTTATGTCAAAATCCTGATCTGATGAGGTTAAATGGACCTCGGATTCGGATTCAGCGACCCAAAAACCATAAAGTCTACATAGTGAGACCCCCAGATCAGAACTTTTTTTTTGTGTGGCTGTGTAATCGAAGACAACCTTATTCTCATTCGGCGCCTCTTTTCGTCATACAAATTTCGTGGAGATGATCTCCTCGTCGGCGTGTAATGATCATGAAAAGTCCACTTCTTTGTAGTCGATGCTGTAGGAGAGATCCGCAGAAATCGTCCTCCCAATGATACTTGGATTACCAAAAATGACTGAGTATTATAGTTTTGTTGCTTTGCAACCAATTATTCACAAATGCAATATATATTCGAGCACCAACCGCTACAAATTTACATAATATTAATAAACACTCTGACAATAATTTATATTTAGTTTTAATTTCAATATTTCCTTACCCCTATCGGGCGTTGTGAAATATATAATTGATTGTTATAACAGTGCAATTCGCCAACCTGCTACGCACCGAGGTGCTTGTTCTGAGGTCTTGACCACACTGATTTTGACACTCAAATTTACTATTCAATTCTCAGGCTGAAGTCCCATGGCAGCGTTTTGCGTTGCGTTTTGTAACTAGGCAATGAGTGTGAGAGAGATGGAGATATATGTTTGCTATATTTGCACTTATGGCTTAGTTACAAAACGCAACGCAAAACGCTGCCATGGGACTCCACCCTCATACACACACATTCCCTTATCGCTCCTGTTGACACGACGAATACACACTTTACATGATCGTAATTTGTGGTTACGTTTTATTTTTTTACTCCGAATCCCTTTGAGATCCCAAGATGAAATTTACAGGACATGTAAAGCACATTTGCCCTAACATTTAGAAAAATTTTGAAAAAATCAAAGATGATGTTTTTTCAAAAACGGATTTTTAATTTTTCAAAATTAAAAAAAAAATTTGTTTGAATTTTTTTATATTAATTTTAACTTAAAATATACTTAAAACCAAAGAAATCCTTTTTTTAAAATCCAAAATCGGTTGATTAGAACCAAAGTTATAGCACTTTAAAAAAAAGACAAAAATTTTGAAAATGCCATATTTTTGGTAATTTTCAAAATTTTGAAAAAATTTTTGGTGGAGTTGTTTATCACTACAAAAGTAATAAATTTACAAAATTACAGCCAAATCCCAACAAGTATTGAAAAAAAGTGTGTTGAACTGACGTGGAATCCACCAACAATAGGTCTTTTTTTTTAAATTTTGCAACGTATGTTCTTGTAGTAGTTTTTCGCGTAGAATCGAATGGCGCTATCAGTTTTTTATAAAAATAAATTTTTCTTAATTTGTTTATAACAAATTGTTTAAAAAAATTTTTAACATCAAAAATTGTTATTAGACCCCATGCCAGGATCCCAATTGTTGTTTTTTTGATATCTGCGTTTCTGTGCCCATGGGCTGGAACGATTATATATGCAGACTAATTGTTTATAACATTTTTATAACAATAGGTCTTTTTTAAAAAATGTTGTAACATATGTTCTCGTAGTAGTTTTTTGCGTAGAATCGAATGGCGCTATTAGTTTTCTATGAAAATTAATTTTTCTTAATTTGTTTATAACAAATTGTTTAAACAACATTTTTAACGTCAAAAATTATTATTAGACCCCATGCCAGGATTCCAATTGTTGTTTTTTTGATATCTGCGTTCCTGTGCCCATGGGAATTCATGGGTTAAAATTTAAAAAAAATTAAATTCTTTTGAAGAATTTCTTTGAATTTTTTTTAAACTAATAGAGTTTCTTTAATAATTTTAATTGAAAATTTTGAAAGCAATTGAATTTTATGAAGAAGAATTTTATTAAAATTGTAGTGAAAATAATTGAATTCTTGCAAAGAATTTTACTATTTATAAAATTAATTGAAATGTTTCGAAGAATTTATTAAAATTTTAGGAAATATGAACAGTAATAATTAATTTTGTACTTAATAAGTGGATTTTAAAAATTTTGATTTACAAATAATTGAAATTTCGTAAAATTGAATATTGTAAACAAATGGATTTGAAAATATTGTCAAAGAACTTTTTCGAAAATTATTAAAAATAATCGATTTAAAGAAGAATTTTAGTTAAAAATTCTTGTAAATAATAATTGACATGTAAATGATTTTATTACTCGGTCATCTTTTATTATTATGAAATGTAATATAGGGGAGTATAGTCGAGGTTGGACCACTGTCTAGGTAGGCCATTGGCGATTTTTTAGACAAGTTAACTAGCGCCACCTACGCGCATGCTTGTCGAAGCTTGTCTTAGTGGAACCTAACTTTTTGTTCAATTACATTTTCTGAGAATCGAAAATTGTGTTTTCTGTGACGTCGGTACAAAAAAAAAGCTCAAAAAAAGTTTTGTGCATCATATGAAAAACCATTAATAAAAGATTAAAAAAAATTGAATCGTCAAGGCTACATGCAGAAATTTTGTGGGACTTATGGTTGAAAGAAAAACAAAGTGGAAAATCGAATCCCGAAACGTATTTCTTTATTGTTACAACAATTCGGTAATGTTACTTTCTGTCAAGGTCGGCCACTTTGTGTTTAAAATGTGCATAGATGAGGACGAGCTACTTCATTTGCAAAAACTGCAATTCTGAATAACTCATAATATAATTGATAATCTTATTAATATTTTTATTTAATTTTATTAATATTTCAGTGCAAATTTTTTTTTTTATTTATATTTATTTTTTTATATTGTTTATTTTTATTATTTTATTATTTCATTAAGTTACAAGCTGTAAACAATAAAGAATCAATTTTCCGTAACTCCAAACATGTTATTTTATTTTTTAACGATTAATGCCCTTTGAATTTTAAACATAGACCGACCTTGACTGTAAGGACCAACCTGGTCTGCAAATTTTTTTTTTTTTAATCTTTTTAACTTTTTCATTTTAAAACCAATCAATTTACTTTGTACAGAAAAAATGTTCCTATTAAACAGGACTTTCCAACAATATACTTCAATTGTCCAAATTCATTTTTAAAAAAAAGTTATAAACAAAAGTCAAAAGGTGGGCCAACCTCGACTACATTCCCCTATCTTTTATTATTATTTGACTCGGCCTGATTATATTTTTGTTAGTTGGTCCGTAAAGTCCGTATTTTTAAATAATTTCACTGTTCGAGCCCTGACTATATTATATATTGTTACCTTCATGTGAAACATTGGGAATGGTACAACCTTATTATTTATACCCAAAATACACATTGTTGGATAATTAATATTGATCATGTGTTTGTATATTGGATAAACATAGTTATTATCAACAGTTATTCCACAACTTGGGTCCAAAAATGGAAACGTTATTAAATATCCTGTACAGTAGATAATTGCATCAACTTGCACTGAATTTCCGTCTGCAAAATGGATTTTATTTTTTTCTATTCTACTGATTTCCATGACCTGAGTTAATTGCGGCGGTAGTATACTAACTAGCCTAAAATTATTGAAGAAATATTAGAGAAATATTTATTGTTTTTTTATTAATTATCTATTATCTCGTATCGAATACTATCAAAAATCAATAAATGTTACCTTTCCCCATGATGACTTAAATAAACGTGATCAGCATGTGCACATAATTCTATACCAATATCGATACCAGATGATGATGCACCAAGAACCACTATTAATTTACTGGTAAAATCCTCAGGTCTTCTATAAGAATGACTATGTAAAATTGTGCCAGGGAATGTTTCTATTCCAGGTATTTTAGGCACATTTGGTTGATAATATTGTCTGTAAAATTTAGCAATTAGTTAATATAAATCTGATCGTTACTTAGACGTAGAAATGATTATTATTAAGCTGATGGTCGCCTAAATGTTCTGACAAAACTTATTATACACTATCCTATGAAAATAATTAAAAAGTGTAGAAGAAATGTTTTTGCACACATGGAATTTATAAAGCATTTTCTACAAACTTACTGCTTTTACTTCACTTACCAAAAACAAATTTCAGTTTTACCAAAGAGTGCACTTTTATGATTTTTAAAAATGTTGGAGAATTTTTCCCAAAAAAAGCGATGAAATATATTTATTAAATGGTTAGAAATATTAAAAATGTTATAAATGTTTAGTTATTAGTTTAAAATTAGAAAAGAAAAAGTAAGAAAATGAAATTAATCGGAATCACAATTTGGACATGTAAAATAGGCTCCATTAATTACATATTTTAAGTGAACAGCTCTATCGCAAGAATAGCAATGAATAGAATTGTTTTTGTTCAATTACTATAGCTATGAGTGATTTTAATAATATGTACCTTCATTGATACAATTGTGCAATTAAATCGCCAAAAACAACCAACAAATACTTCCCCAAAAACGTGTCCCACAATTCCCCAAATGCTTCATTTTACAAAAAGCTTTGTATTATTTATTCATTTTAATTTGATGCAAAATTTCTTTTTGGAGTCAAAGTACCAATGCCACACAATAATTAAAATTCAGAATTTATTGCAAAATTTATTTAAGAATTGAGGCTATGGCAAAAACAGTGAATACTGCTGAACCGTAGGTTGATATAGTGTTTTAAGCTTTTCGAGAAGAACTGTAGTTAATTTCTGGACAACATGTTGAATTTTCATGAAGAATTACAAAACTGGATTTTTATTTCTTCCATATCCTCAATTTTTTATAAAAGTAAAATTATGTTCTGCTTGAGTCTCTTAAAATATTTACCCAGTACAAACGATAATTCCGTCGAATTCTTCATGAAAAATTTGATTTGTTTTTAAATTTTTAATTTGTACTTTCCAAACAGTTTTCGAATCATCATCCTTAAATTCTGGTTTTACATGTTCTACCAGTGTATTGAACTGAAATGTAATCATTGCCAAAATTAATTAAATTAGAAGAACACAATATTATATTTAGAAAAATTACCATTGTTTCAAAGAAAAGCTCTTATTTGACATTGTAGTCCCAGTGGGCACAGGGACGACTAAAATACGTATTTTTACGTATTTATTTATTTATTTATTATTTTATTACGTACGTCCCTTTTTGTCCACGGACATTTGGGGACAATGATGGTAATTTATTTATTTATTTAACAAAATCAAGTTCCTAGGGCTTAAAGCCCTTCGAGGAACAAATACATATATATTTAAATAATTTTATTTCAGTAGATAACAATAAGTATAAATTATAGTATATTTTAAATGGTAGGGGAGACCGGGGCTAAACCGGACGGATTTGGTCTTTGACCAGAAAACTCATAGAAAAAAATATTTTTTGCTAAAGAGTAATATACCGTTTTGAAGCTTGTTCCTTCACCTACAAATCTCACTTGTTCGTTTTTAAAAAACTACAATAGCTTGGGAGATATATTGCTTTGAAGGTGACTACCTCAAAAACGAAAATCTGAAAATTGGTGGGACTAAACCGGACACCCCATTGGGCTAAATCGGACACGGCAAATTAATTAAAGAGAGAGACACCAATTTTCGTTTTTTTTTGTAGAAAAGTCAAATCAATTCTTTGTTTATTTATTTGTATATAAAATGAATTATAGTTTTCAGACTTGTTTGTTTTTAGCAGCTCGCTTGCTAATTCGTGTTTTAAAATATATTCTTTATTTATTTATTGATAAAGTGGTTCTATGCAAAGAATATAATATAAAATAGGTCATTAATATGAAATAAATTATAGTATTCGCAAATTTGATAGTTTTTTGTCACGATGTCCGATTTAGCCCCACACCGTCATCTAATAATTAACCTGCAATAAATTTTTTCTTCTTAACGTCTTCCATTAAACTTTTTTTCTACTAAACTCAGTACACCTTCAGCTAATAAAAAAATTGCCATATGATATGTGCACTTTAATTATAACGAAAAAACCCAAAAAAATGAGAAAGTTTTTTTTACTTTTACTGCGAAAAACGACATTTTTATATATTAACAGCAACTATTATTACAAGAAAAATGACATGTCCCTAAAACCTCATGCAATATATGCTTCACGAAATAGCGCGTTCAGAGGTTATTAACATTATTTGAAATTCTTCATGGTTTCGGAAATATTTGACTTGTTCGGTTTAGCCCCAGTCTCCCCTATTTAATATATTTGTAAAATTGGTTATTGTAAAACATTTAACAATGATAATAAATTTTTTAAAAAGTATATCATAAAAAATATCAAAAGTTTACCAATATGTTATATTAAACAAATTGTTGTTACATTTAAATAAGAAATCGAAAAACAATTTTTTAAATATAAATTGACTCAAAGCATCTCTAATGTTAACTGGTAACTTATTCCAAAGTCACACACTTCTAATTATAAAAGTTTTTTGCATCTTACAAGGGGCGATGGAAAGGTATTTTTAATATAGATTTTCTTTCTCGGAGTTTACTGCTAATTGATTCTTTGGCGTTCTTAAATTCGAGGAAATCATAAAGATCCCAGGAATTTTATTATTAATAATAGAGTATAGTAAATTTCCCATGAAATACTGTCTTCTGGTTGCAACATTTAATAAACCGGCTTTAATCCTGTAATTCGAAATATGTTCACTTTTTGGTAGATTGTAAACAGAATGCAATTTATTAATTAGCAAATTATGATTCACAGAAGGAAAAATGCCTTTGAAAAATCGAAAAACACTACAACGGTGACATGTTTTTAGTCCATAGCAAGTTTAATATCAGTTAAAAATTTCAATGAAGCAGTACAGGTGCTATGTTTAGAGCGGAAACCTGATTGCAAAGGCTCTAATAAATCATTAAAAGTTAGAAAATCTGTTAACTGTTTACGTACTATTTTTTCCAAAGGCTTAGTCATAGTACACACCAAGGAAAAAGGTCTATAGTCAGTATGTGTCTTTGGATTTTGAACTTTAGGTATTAGACGAACATCATTCATTTTCCATATATCTGGAAAAATTCCTGTTTGAAGGATATTGTACACGTGTATTAAAATGGGAAAAATGACTGGAAGAGCCAACTTGATCATCTTAACAGATATACAATCAGGACCCATCGCATCGCCTTCGATTTAATAGAAGCAAGGGTATTAATAGTACATTGTGCAACGAGGACGCAAAGCGCAAGTTTCTCCCGAGCTTGATTTTGCAGTACGAGGCGAAGCCGAGTACTGTAAACAAGCGAGGACGAGAAATGCGTGCGTCCGAGGTACACACGACATTTTATACAAAACGAGAATGTAATCCGCGGTTACTCGGTGCGTTTTGAGAGGTAAAGCATGGCTTTGCTTCAAGTAGTTTTTTTTTTTTTTTAAGACTACTTTCTCGTCCTAGGACCGTAAAACTGCTGCTTGAAGTAAAGGCATACTTTGCGTCTCAAAAACGCGCCGAGAAAGCGGGGATTACATACTTGTTTTGAATAAAAATCATTTCTGGAGAGATATTAGAAAAAAAGAACTTATCATCTTCGAAAATATTAATATTATCACAAAAACATGTGCAGCAGGGAGGGAGGACGCCTGGTCAGGTGTATAAGAGGTAATATCTCGGAGCCATCAAAAGGCAACTAAAAGACGTCTTTAAGAAGTCTTCCAAGCGTCCTTTTCACAGACGGAAAAAATTTTATCTGTATAGCGGTTACAACATTTTTACAGCTACAGGGCAGTTCTACTATTTTTCAAAATAGATCTGCTTAAACTGCAGAATGAATCTGTAATATGTCACAAAGAATACTGTAATTACCTTCCAAATTAATGTTTAGCTCTCAGTGTGGTTCGAATGAGAAACTATTACAGAAGTGACGTTTTTAGCATTCGACGTTTTAAACATTCGACGTTTTGAACATTCGACGTATTGACAATTCGATATTTTTAGCATTCGACGTTTTGTCCATTCGATGTTTTTAGCATTCGACTTTTTGTCCATTCGATTACTTGGCATTCGACTATATGATCATTCGACGACTTGGCGATTAGGGGATATGCATGCGTCTCTAATTTACTAATTACTACTGCAAGTTATTGTATTTACATAAATTACTGTACTTACGTAAATTAGATAACTTACGTAAGTAACCTTATTTGCTTTACTGGCTGCATTTACATAACTTACGTAACCTAGTTAACATAAGTAACTAATTTACTTACCAATGGTCATATTGTAAAATAATTTTTTTCACAATAGAAATGTTATAAAAAAAGACCTTACAATATTAAGGACTACAAGTGAACAATAATTATATCAATTATTGAGAACAAAGTGATTTTTTAAGGGGCTTGTATACCTCCTCCGTTCTAAGTATATCAGAAACGTCCAGCGTTTTGATTGGCTATAGAGAATTTCCAAAACATTAAATTTTTTGGAAATTCTCTATGAGCATAGCCAATCAAAACGCTGGACGTTTCTGAATATACTCAGAACGGAGGAGGTATACAAGCCCCTTTACATTTAGAATGTATAATAGTCTTTATACAACTCAGGCGTATTATGGTCACTTTCTCTACCTGTACAGGCGCGTACTAAGTTCCCCCTTATAACCCAGCAGTCAATAATGTAACCATTATAGCCCTAGGGAGATAAAGGGTATATTATTGACCGCTCCCAGGTCAATAAAGTACCCTTTATCTCCCTAGGGCAATAATGGTTACTTTATTGACCAGCTGGGTTATATGGGAGAACTTAGCATGCACCGGTACAGGTAGCATAGAGTAACCATAATACGCCTTTTGTTGTATAAAGCAAAGTATGGAACAAGAGAGGTAAGTCCGAGTTTATGTACCGAGCACAATATTGAAAAATGAGTCGTAGCACGAGCGAAGCTCGGTACATAAACTCGGACTTACCTCTCTTGTTCCATAATGTACTATTCTCGAAAGCGGTGAATTTTCATAGCAGTTAGTATATAAGAAGGTTTCAGTCATGTATAAATATGTGTAAATAGCGATCGTTATTATGTTATATGCGTTTTAATATTTAAGTTAGATTTATGTACTTAGGGTTTAATCAAATTGTTTAGTTTAATAATATAATTAATCTTGAAGTTGGGAGTCTTGGAAGAATGAAATCAATATTGTGCAGTATATGATTAAAAGTCACTAATTAAAAAAAAGTTTTATTTTAGTTGAAAATTTTCTTTTTTTACTTTACTACAGTCATTTGTAATCAGAAATGAATTTAGTTCGTATTTATTTCAAATAATTTTTTAATGAGTACATTTGCTTTACAGAATAGATAAAGCGAAGCTATCCCTGGTAAAAATTTCGGACTAATTCCGGATTAAATACGGACAGATTAGTAGGGATTAGTCCGAAAATTGTACGAAAAAGGTCCGAAAATGATCCGCGCTAGTCTCATATCAATCCGAACGAAAACCTGAATCCGAAAACACTCCGGAGTAATCCTGAATATCTACGAATTCAGTCCGCAACAATCCAAATTTATGACCGATGAAGAATTCTTCTAAAATAAGTACGGAATTATCCGATATCAATATGTAAAGAATACGGAATCAGTCCGCAACAATCCGAGTTTAATTTAGTTAAAAAAAACTTAATCCGCAAAATGTCCGGAGCAATCCGAACTCTATAAGCTAGAAATCCGGTATTAGTCCGCAACAATTTGAAATTAAATGTAGCAAAATCCTATTCCGAAAGAAGTACGAAACAATCCGAAATCTGTATGCTAAGAATCCGAAAATTTTCTGCAACAATTCGGATTTAATCCAATTAAAAGGCATAATCCGAAACAAATACGAAATAATCCGAAATCTGTACACAAAGTATCCGACATTAGTCCGCTTCAATTCGGAATTAGTGTGGTAAAATCATATTCCGAAACAAATACGAAACAATCCGAAATATGTATGCTAAGAATCCAGTAATAGACGGTCACCCGAATCATATTATATCCCTGGTAAAAATTTCGGATTAATCCGGATTAAATCCGGGTATATTAGTGTGGATTAGTCCGATAATTGTACGAAAATTATCCGCTTTAATCTAACATCAATCTGAGTGAAATTGTGAATCCTAAATCAGTCTGGAATAATCTTAAATGTCTGAATTAAATCCGTAATTATTACGCAACAATCCGAAATTATGTCCGTCAAAAAACTCATCTAAAATAAATACGAAATAATCCGAAATCAATATGTAAAGCATACGAAATCAGTCCGCAATATTCCGAATTTAGTCCAGTTAAAAGATTTAATCCGAAACAAGTATGAAACAATCCAAAACCTGTATGCAAAGAATCCGGTAATAGTCAGCGTCAATCCGAATAATACCCGATCAAAACACCCCTGTCCGAAAATAAGTCTTATTATTATAAGAATTTGTAAATATATACAATCCATATTCAATCCAATTCAAAGACTTAATCCGGAATGATTTTAGAACAAAAACCTGTCCATAAGCAGACTGTTTCGGATTAGCTGCGGATTCACTGGTTAAACCAACCGGATTACTTCTACATTTAATAGTTGCATTATGCAACTTGCATATGATCTGACTAACTACAGACTAAACCGGGCCAATTATGGATTCAATAGTGATAAACAACGGTATTAATTTCAAACTTAATTCATGGTGAAAAAACTCCACAATAAACCGTACTGTTGCGGACAAATTCCAGATTAGTCCGAAATCGGTCCTACTTTTTATTCAGGGTATTTACTTATGGTAAATAAAATATGCAGTCATAATTTGTTTTTACAAATTTACTAGTATTATTAATTATCTTGTTTCAATATTAAAATTGACACTGATTATGTGTTAGTTTCTTGTCATTTCTTTTCGTGACACTCTATAAATTCTATTATGAATTTGAACTCCCATGCAAGCGTGGTATAGTGGTTAGTGTATTCGATTTCGGTGCGATATAATGTTAGATAGGTGTAGGTTCGAATCCCCAAGCGTTAGAAATTTTAAGTTAATGTAAATCAAATTACGATAGGTAAATCGAAAAATATGTTGAATGTACCATAAAGTAGGGGAGAGGCTCCAGTTGTGAGACGGGTTTTATTTTTGACCCGTAAATTGTAAACGGGTAAACGAAATTGTAAATAAAATACACCGTTCGAAAGGAAACAGAAATACGCAACTTTTATTAAAAAAAGTGTAGTGTTTCGATGAACTCAAAAAATTTTACGATACATTTTCCGAGCACATCGCTTTTTTCAAAAAAAAAAATGTCTCCAGTTGTGAGACACTCATTAAAAATTGCTAAAATTTAATAAGTTTGACATAAATCGTTATGTTCAGTAGAAATAATTAAATATATTAATAATATATATTATTATATACTAAATAATATTTATTCGCCAAAATATGACTATCAAATAAACACAATTTAATAGCTTCAACAAGAGCATTAAAATTGATTTCTTCTGAATCAATTGGCTTTTTTCCACTTGACATGCCCAAAAATACTAGAAAAAAAAATCAAAACAACATTTAAGTAGTATGCCTGCAAAATCGTATTTTTTATGCTGCCCAGATGGGTGTTGACACCGTCTCACAACTGGTGATATGCTGTGTCTCACACCCAGAAATTGGCGCTATTTTGAAAAACGAAAATTAAATTATTTTCAACCGTAGATTGGAACAATGCAATATTGCATCACAAAATACAAGGAAAACACTAAAAGAAAATGCATTACATTTACCTTTTCCAATTAATTAACTAGGAAAAAATGTACTTTGCATTTTTTGAAAAAACGCTTTTTAGTCGATTATTTATCACACACAGTGTTGGTATTTAACAAAAACAGTTTATATATCCGCTTCGGCGTACACAAAAAAGTTGGCTCATATAAAAAGAAATGTTTTTATATAAACCAATCGGCTTTTTAATATTGCATGTTAAAAAAAATTGACTGTTTCACAACTGGAGACTCTCCCCTAATAATAATTAATATGTGTAACTTGTATAATTATTTTTTTATTAACATTCACTAAATTGTCCGGACTAATTTTTTATTGCTTCGGACTAATTCCGGATTCACTAGTTAAAATTAACTGATATTAATTTCGGACTTCATCGGACCAACTCCTGGATTCACTAGTTCTTCACAAACCGTACAGAGTTCGGATTTTTACGGATTAATTTTGGGTGACAAAAACCTGACCATAACCCGCATAGTGATGGGTACGTAATATACGTCACGTAAATTACCTAAAAAATTTCAAACACAATGCATTTTTCATGGTGGGGGGGGGGTAAAATACGTATTTTACATATGTAAATACTCATGTAATTTACGTCAAAAACCTCGAGTAAAGGCCTAAGCACAATAGATTCGCGAAAGTCGTTCGCGAACGCAAAGCATGAGTTAGAAAAGGACATACATATATTCGTGTCCTTGTCTATCTCATGCGTCTCGTTCGCGAACCGATTGTGCGTTGAACTTGACGCGTCACTTCCCAACACTGGTTGGACACCCTGTTGTAATCATTAACAGAAAATTTTTCTCCGTGTAGTGTTACCAATCGAACTAGTGAAGCCAAACCGTGAGAGTTGGCAATCGTGTTACGAGTGAAGTTGCTTCATTGTTTATAATTTGGTGTGTCAAGCTGGCAGACGAAGTCAATTGTAGTCTGTGCAGCGAAACGCCAACTAAAGTGAAACAAAGTGAGGAAAGTTTGTTGAACTCATTCGAAGTGGAAATGTCGGATCACGGAGACAATAACGATGAAACTAATTCGCAAGCGGGAGACAATCACACCCGAAAGAGAAGCCCAAAATGGTCGAGGTGATACACATAATACACCAAAACATAGTGAGATAGGAGATTTGATTCCTTGTTATGATGAAGAAGAAGATGACGACGTCGAGAAGTGTATCCGCAGAGTCTATGAGGTCCAGGCAGCATATAATGTGACAGATGGGATAATAAAGCTTCAAGCTTCGCGACGTTTGAGAAAACGAGCACTCGAATGGTATAATAAAACTCCGGGAATAGTTGCCAAAACATGGCCGCAGCTGAAAGAAGAATTAATCAAAATATTTAGAAGCAGGGAAGATCCCAGTAAAAAAAAAACTAATTCAAATGAATTGAAACGAATTAACATTTTTGGTAGGCTCCAATTCGTATTTGTCACAAAGCGGGATTCACTCAAGCTCTTTATATATTTAATTGAATTTAATTCAATATGTACCAATTTGTCCAAACGAATTCGCATTCGAAAGAAATGGCCAAGGAATGCATTGATTTCGTGCTAACGAATTGAAAAAAATTAAAGGCTCAAAACTTGTCCAGTGAATTGGTACGGATAGAAGGTTCGGAAGTTCAATACAGTTTCACGAATTTAGGAAAATTGCATCATGGCTCCAATTCGTATTTGTCACAAAGCGGGATTCACGAAAGCTCTTTGTGAATTCTTTTTAATTCATTTCAATTAGTTTTCGTTTACTGGGATCCGTTGACCCGTACCAAATAGATGGAAGTGCGAATGTGGAAGGTGGGAGAGAAATTCTCCTCCTACTTTTAGGACAAGGTGAAACTCCTGAATCGTTTAGACTTGTCAGAAGAGATTTTAATAGAATACATGATAGAAGGAATACCTGATTTCTTGTTAAAATGTCACGCACGGGCTGGGAACTATCGTACGTTAGTTGATTTGCTGAATGGGATGCAGCGCATAACCAGGAACGAGGCAAGAAGAAATACGAAAAAACCTAGTGGTCCCAGACAAGGTGCATTCGCTTCAAATTCGAAATACGTCAGAAGTGATAACAAATTGGATGAGACAAAGTCTACACCAAGTACCAGAGTGAGATGTTACAGGTGTCACGAATTTGGACATTTATCGTCGGAATGTATAAACCCTGAGAAAGATCGAGGAGCTTGTTTTAAGTGTTCGAAAACAGACCACCAGGCACCAACGAACCACCACCACCTGCCCAACGAAGTCAACGAGAGTGACAGGAGGCGTTTCAACTTCAAGTGGAACAAGTTTTAACGATGATACAGTGGCTTTTATTAACACGACATCGAGAGAAAATTCAACAGAGGACATCTTCAACATACGAACTCTACACGTGAAGAAGAAGACGCCGTTGGTCGAGCCGAGTTCGACAGATACTGAGAAAGAAAAGGACACAGACAGCTTCTGTCATTTTCTTTTGCATGCCCTGTTCCTGTATCTGTATTCATTCTGCTTAGACCTTTAGTGTACCAAAGTTTCATCTATTTTCATTTAAAATTGACGTGGTGACAGATTTTTGTCCAAAAAATAAGGTTTTTGACTCACTGTGCGTCTGCATGATAGAGAGAGAAAATAATATTAGCACCAGTAGGTGTCTCTCTTGCACTATAATGCTCATTTGAAGGACAGATACTGGTTTTAAATCTTTTTTCTCTCTCCCTGTCAGTGACGTCACCGGGGGAAAAGAAAATTTCCCTCACGCTCACCGGGAAAGACATACTTTTCTGCCCCTTCCCAAGTAAGAAATGGTGTACTTTCGGTGCTTGTGTTTTTAGAAAAAACCATTTTTATTTTTCATGAAAATTTTAGGAATTCTGACCCTATATAAAAAGCAAGAGGAACTTATTTGAACACCTTTATTTCGTGTAAAATCCGTAAATATTTATTTGGCTTCGGGACAGAAGTATAGCTTTTCTCAAAGTGTTTAAAATTAAAAAATAGATCGTTTTTGTCTTACCTGAATATATTGATAAAGTTGAAAATGTTGAGCATAGTTTTGCAAATAAGATAAAATTTGTTGATGCGTTGCAGTACTGAACTTGTCCCCTTTCATTTTTCGGTAGTCAGGAAAATTCATTATCTCACATGGCAAATTGGTTCTATGGAAAATTTATATTTATATATTATATAAAACCTCCGTCTTTCCTGGGATATGACGAAGGCTCAGTTGGAGGAAATGACAAATTTGAGAGGGATTTTTTAAATGCGTCAACAAGCTGGAGAGGTGAACGCGCGCATCGTTTTTCGTCACGGCTCACCAGTAATTGTCACGCACACTCGACGTAAGAAGGAGAAATCCAACACACATAATTAATAAGTCATGTTGATGGCAACCCAGTAATAAGGGGTGAATTAAAGTGGATTGGCACTTTTATGCTCTTAAATTCCAAACCAATTCCGTTTTTGTCCGCAATCTTAATGAATTCCTTTTCTATTGTTAAATTGATAATTTCTATCCAATTCAATTCTCTGTAACCATCACGTGACCAGAATTTGAAACCCCTTTAATGCCCTTTAAAGAATTCAATGTTAATTAAAAGGCATTAAAGTGAATTCAGACTCTGGTCACGTGGTTACAGAGAATTGAATTGGATAGAAATTATCAATTTAACAATAGAAAAGGAATTCATTAAGATTGCGGACAAAAACGGAATTGGTTTGGAATTTAAGGGCATAAAAGTACCAATCCACTTTAATTCACCCAGTAAAAAAAAACTAATTCAAACGGATTGAAATGAATTAAGATTTTTGGTAGAAAGCGGGATTCATTCAAGCTCTTTGTATATTCGATTGAATTCGATTCAATTTGCCTGAAGTTGTGCAAACGAATTCGCATTCGTAAGAATGGACCAAGGCATGCATTGAATTCGTGCTGACGAATTAAAAAAAATTAAAGGCCCTAAAACTTGTCCATTGAATTAGTAAGAATAGAAGGTTTGGAAGTTCAATACAGTTTGACGAATTCAGGAAAATTGCAACATAGCTCCAATTCGTATTTGTGACAAAGCGGGATTCACTGAAACTCTTTGTGAATTCTTTTTAATTTATTTCAATTAGTTTTTGTTTATTGGGCACCCCTTATTACTGGGAATGCTGGTGTGGACATATCACATGGTTCTGACAGTCTATCAGGTGTTATCCCCTCTCACTCTGCACATGGTACCTCAATAGCTGACTCACAACTGTTTCAATTTACTATCAAAATGTGAGAGAATTGAGAAGTAAACTTTTTTTTATCAAATACGTGAAATTCTTGACATTAATAATAATAAGGCAGCCGTTTAATTTTGTATGCTATTTCTTGTAATTAGTACTCTGTACGAAAGGGCATTGCCCGAATACTTTTCAAATATATATATAAAAACCGCTGCCAAGTTGTATATTTTTTTTATAACTTTAGTGCTCATTTCATGAACACTTTACTTCCTCATAGAGATAAAAATAATATAAATATATGAATAACTTTTTATAAATATGGTAAAAGTGATTTAATTTTGGGTCAATCAATGTATTTTTAAATACCCTACTAGATAGTTACAATAATTTAATAGTTAAACAAAAATTTCCAAACAAAAAAGTTGAGAAAATGTCATTTTTCACAATTTTTGGTTTTTAAAATACCATTAATTTCGAAATTTATTATCGAATTAGGTTCAAAAATAGGTCAATCGAAGCGTTTTTTAATGCTCTACAAGTTGATAACAATAATTTTAAAGTTACTTCTACGTTTATCAACAAAATTTTTAAAAAAAGTCTTATTTTCCAAAATTTTTTATTTTTAAAAGTTTAATAACTCCGGTTAATATGAACGAAAAATGTTCAATTAGGGCTCAAAAGATGCGTCTAAAAAACTCTACAAAATTATGAAAAATCATTTATAGGTGTCTTAACATTTTTTTAAAGTTATAGGCAAAAAAAGTTTTTTTGCAAAATTAAAAATCAAAAAAAATTTTAGTTAAACTTTATTAATATATCAGAAAGTACTCTCACTTTATGTCCGCAGGTGATGTTTACACACACACACACACACACACATACGGAATGACATTTTTTAAAAATGTCATTTTTGAACTCCTGAGGTCAAATAACATAAAGATATGTCAAAAAATCGAACTCAAAAAATTTTGGTATTACAATACTTCCTCTATGAGAAAGTAATATTATAATATATAAATAATATATAAATTTCATCTTTTAAGCATGCTTGACAATCTTTCAAAACCGGCGTTTTCAGATAATATCAGATTTGCTTAAAACATGTTACACGGGGGTTTTTAATGTCACTCATTACGAATCTGACATCAGATTTTCAAAATTCAAAATTTTATTAGGCCCCAAAAGTTGACTGAACTTTAAATTCAGTCAACTTAAGTTAAGTTATTATTAATTAAAATAATTTCTTACAGCACCGAAAGTTTGCTATAAAAGTTAAAATTGACTAGGTTGGAACCTTCGGAATCTTTAGTTGTGAAGCTCGCATGAAACTTGAAGTATAATTCTTTAAATGCCCACTGTTTTTCAATGTTTCACACGAAAGTTGACTAATAATTGCATGATTTCAAGTCTCATGAGCTTAGTGACTAAAAATTCCAAAGATTCGAATCAAGTTAATTTCAGCTTTTGGGAAACTTTCGGTGCTGTGTAGGTTCAAGATTTTAAATTTTAATTTGCACTATTCGATTAAAAAATTTTTATATAATATATAAATACCTGAGATCTCTGTACATACTGGAGTGTATTGGCAAACCATTTGAATCTAACCCTGTTTTTTCATTATAAACCCATGTACCTCCAACTTTTTCAGTTTTTTCGAAAGCCACTAATTCAAAATTATTTAAATTTGCCGCGAAATTGCGAAGAGCGCACAATCCAGCCGCTCCTCCGCCTATTACACAAATTCTCATTTTTTTTGTAGATTCATTGTTATCTGTAATTGAAGAAAATCTTCCTTTAACTTTTCTCTCCAGTATTTAAAAAAATTGAATTATATAATGTTCTTTTTATGTAATTACTTTCCTTATTTATTGCTCTTTTATTTCTTAATCTTATCACTTAGAAAAATAAGAGACCACAGAAGATAAATTTAAGGTCGTCGGCCGGAATTTCATTTCAGAATGTGGAAAAATTCTTCTAAAAGAGCTGCCAGATGCCAAATTTTTAAAAATGAAAATTTTAGTAAGGGGCCATCCACATATTACGTCACACTTTAAGAGGGGGGGTCAAACAATTCGTGACACCCTGCAGAGAAAATGGCGCTAATGTATGTAATAGAATGTGACATGGGGAAGGGGGAGGGGTCAAAAATGGCCAAAAATAGTGTGACGTAATATGTGGATGGCCCCTAATTCTAACAAACGAACATTTTTCTAACATTTGGAAATTCTAACAAATAAACATTATAACTTTTAATAATTCTAACAAATAAACATTCGAACATTTAGTAATTCTAACAAATAAACATTCTAACTTTTGGAAATTATAACAAATAAACATTCGAACTTTTGGACATTCTAACAAATAAACATTTAATTGAACTTTTGGACATTCTAACAAATAAACATTTAATTGAACTTTTGGACATTCTAACTTTTAGAAATTCTAACAAATAATCATCCCTGCTGGAAGTAAAGAGATACAAAGAGATTAAAAAAAGTGGATAAAAAAAGATTAGAAGGTATAATAGTTTGAAAAGATGCAAAATGGATACTTAAAAGAGATACAAATTGTTTATCTCTTTCTATAACCTTATATTTAAATCTCTTTTTATCCCTTCTAATCTCTTTATACATATACAGTTTCAGATATAGAAATATATAGAAAAAAATATATAGAAAGAGATAAAAAATTGGGGATGCAAAGTGGTGAATTAAAGAAGATAGAACTTTTCTATACAAAAATATGGAAGTTAAATTCAGACAAAACCGTAAAATCGCACAGTGAATAACACACGCTTTCTGATCTACGAATCTACTGACCCGACGCCATGACACATAACAGCTGGGAAGATCGACGCATGCGCGTATAAGTTTATGAGTATGTATATAGAAAGGGATATACTATAGTAGATTAGAAGAGATAAACTTATTATATCTCCTAAAATTCCCATAATCTTAACTATCCCTACCTATCGCTTCTAAATGAAGTAAGGAGATAGAATATGGGATAAATAAATAGAAAAATTTTATAGTTTTGCAGTCTCGCATTTCTATCTTCTTCTATCTCAATAATGGGAATAATGGTAATAAATAAGTGTTAATAAGATCCTTCATAAAAAGCGATGGAAGGGTATAAATAGGATATCAATAGTTATTAAGAAAAGGTTATAAATGTGGAGAAAGAAGAGTATCGAGAACTTCTGTCATAAAAAGAGATAGAAGTTTATAGACAGGTTATTAAAAGGTATTGAGAATAGGTTATTAATAGGTATACACAGTAAAAACAAAGTCTTAAATAATTTAATGGTGGCTAGTTTTAATTTTTGACTTATCTTAAGCTATCAACTTTATTTAATCATAAAAACTAACTGAAAATTAAAGTTAGTTGTACTCTTACTTAAATAAAACTCAGTTTGTAATTTATTTGTAATACACCGGACTTAATTTCAGATCCAATGGTATTAATAAAAAGTTAGATGAAATTAACTTCTAATAAGGTACGCTAACAGCTGACTGTAAGTCTGGCGAGGCTGAAAAAGTTGATTGTGACGTCACAAGGGTCGCAATTTGCAAACGTGAAAAGTCTGAATAGCGCGTTGCGTCGCCGGTTTACTTTTGACTCGTGTTTTATTAATAATATATAAGTCCATAAATTATATTTATAATTGGTGAATCTTAGACAGAAAGTTTAGTTTTATTAGTATGTTAATATTTTAATTCGATTATAAACAAGTTTATAAACATTTTATAATCTTAATTTCACCTAATATATATGTGCATTAGCATTTAATTCTTTATCTTAAAGAGAGAAATTTCCACTGATAGTTTTAATAATTGTTGTTTGTTATAAGAAATTAAATGTGACATATGTTTATTTTAATAAAATTCAAGAATATGAACATACTCTGTAAAAACAAAGTCTTTCTTTAAGGCGGTGTCAAAGTCGATTGGATTTTTGCATTGAGCTTCAATGGAAAAATCGCATCGACTTTGACACCGCCTTTAAGCTCGAAATTTGTCTTTTTTCAAGGTGTAAACGGAAGACTCCCCAATTGATGCAAGTAAGGTGTTAAATAAACTTAAATTGAAAAGGAATTTAAACATTGAAAGGGATACAAGGAAATAGACAGGATTTAAAAAGTAATAGAGAAAAGGTGATTGAAAGGGATAACAAAAAGTTGTAATAAGATTGTATATAAAAAGAGATAGAAGGGTTTAAAATGGCTATTAAAAGTTATTCAAAAAAGGTGATTAAAAGAAATAGCTAGCGAACAAGTTGATAAAGGTAGGAATAGAAAGGCATAAAGAAGTATAGGTAAGAGATTAAAAGTTATACAATATTAATATCTCTTTCTATATTAGCAATAGAAAGGGATTAAAAGAGAAAAGGTTTCTATCTATTTACTTCCAGCAGGGATTCGAACTTTTGGAAATTCGAACAAATAGACTTTCTAACTTTGAGCTATTCTAACAAATAAATATTTGAACTTTTAGCTATTCGAACAAATAAATATTTGATCTTTTAAAATTCTAACAAATGGTTATTCAAACTTTTAGAATTTATGCCAAAATAAGGCGTCCCGGTAAGAAGCGAGGAATAGAAAAAGATTAAATTTCCAGAAATATTCTGTTAAGAACGTTCGATGGTCTCTGAAATTTGTAGGTTATCCCTGCCGGAAGAATGGACTGAAATTGTACTGGCCTCCAGTACAATTTAAGTCCGTTTTTTAATGTTTCGGTAGACATTTTTAAAGTCCTTTAACAATAATTTTAAGTGTAGGTTATGTCAACAAACCATTGTTAACAGTTTGGAAGTGAAAATAGAAAAAGGTTAACAAAATTTTCAACTAAATTCCCGTTTAATTTTAAACTTATATTGCAACCCCTGCTTTAACAATAGACTCGAAAGCCTATTGTTGTATGGGGATTATAATTTTATGGCTTAAAAAGTTTACAATTTAAATAATTCAATTTTTAAAACAAAAAAATTTGAATCTGTGATGTTTTATGATTACAAATATCTAAAATTCATTATAAAAAATGTTTAATTAAAAAAGTTATAAACTATCTCGCAAACTCTAATTGTTACGTAAAAACGGATATTATTTTTGAATTTAGATTACAAGAATATTTAGCATACCTAATAAATACTTGTAAAGAATCTGAGTTCATGAAAAACAAATATAATGTTAAAATATATAAATAAAAATTATTTTTAACATTAACAAAGAAATATTCGTCCTTCAACTTAATGACGGTCAGGCCATAAACATCACCGACAGCGACCCTTTTGCAGGTAATTTTTCCCAGTACAATTTCAGTGCTGAAACGCAGCAAATTTTCACTGAAATAGCACTGAGATCTCAGTACTAATTCCCCAGTACAATTTCAGTCCATTCTTCCGGCAGGGATGTGCGACCTACACTTGTCGCCCAACAAAAACAGTACTGCCTGGTTAGAATGACGTAAAATTGGTAAATAATCATTTTCGAACGAGTTTTTCTCTGCACACAAGCACTTTTTGCAAAATCTGAATGCGAACCATTGACACAAATCTTCTCAATTACCTAAATACAAAATATTTTTTTAATTCATGCAGAAACGCGGTTGCAAAATAGGAAATGCAAAAGCAACAAAAGTAATGTAATAACAGGCGGCAAGACATTTGTTACAACCATTTGCCATTAGAGGGCAGAAGCATGCAGGGAGCGTAAAGGCTCAGCTATCAAAATGTTTCGCATTACATTACTTTGGCCTGGGAGTTCGATTCCGATCGTTGTAACGTACAGATCTCAAGCACCAATTTTCGTGAGGTATCTCCTCACATGGATTACGTTCTCAATACTTTATCTTAACCTAGAATGCTTAGATCTGTGTTATAAATAATTTTGAACTCGATAAGCAAACAGCGTCAATATTCATCAATTTAATTTTCATCTCTAAGTAATTTAAGTGATTCGGAGTACTAAAACTGGAAATTCCATTCGATAATAAATTTATACTAAATTCTCTACACCTACATCGAATTTAACACATGGACTGCTCACTGCAGTTGGATATGTCTTCTCTTTCCATCTTTAAGAGAGTTTTGGAGTGATCGCATTGTATCTGGATGCACATTTGTCGTGTCTACAATAATTTTGATGGAATATTTTGTTGCTGCATAAAGGTAAAGCCGTTCCTTTACTTTTCTCAACAAGGTTACACCTACCCAAACATTTATCCTATCACTTCTCCTTGGGATGTAATTTTGTAAACATCAACAAAATTTTCAAATCGATTTTCATTTATCTTAATAATTTTGAATTTTGATTTTGTCACATTTTATTTATTTCAGTTTGTTTGGTTTTACTTTGGGTTGAAGCTCTCAGCTCCTTGATATTTTCCATTAATTCTCACTTTATCTCTCTATATTATAAAAAGATTTCGCCGCCGGATTCAGTGCCCTGAAGTTGGCCACAAATGGTCAAAGGTCATCGCTCTGAAGTTGGCCTCAAGTCACAGACGTAGGTCAAGAGGTAAACATAACCTCAAAATCAGGTCAAGGTTCATCGCTCTAAAGTTGGCCTCAGGTCATAGACGTAGGTCAAGGGGTAAACATAACCTCAAAATCAAGTCAAGGGTCATATCTCTGAAGTTGGCCTCAGGTCATAGGCGTAGGTCAAGGAGTAAACACATAACCTCAAAATTAGGTCAAGGGTCATCGCTCTGAAGTTGACCTTTAGGTCATAGACGTAGGTCAAGAGGTAAACATAACCTCAAAATCAGGTCAAGGGACATCGCACTGAAGTTGTCCTCAAATAGCTATAGTATATTTAACATATTTTTAGATCACATATGTAGGTCAAGAGGTGAACATATCCTCAAAATCAGGTCAAAAGTTATTGCGGTCACAGACGTAGGTCACGAGGTAAACATAACCTCAAAATCAGGTCAAAAGTTATTGCGGCAACAGACATAGGTGGAGAGGCGAACATAGCCTTAAACTTAGGTCAAAAGAGGGCCTATGAAATCGACAAATTTCCTTATATCTTCTGGAGTTAGATCAAAATTTAGATCAAAATTGACCTATTTATTAACTTACACATAAAAAAAACCCTCATTAAGGCCTTCCAAGGGATCAAAATTTTGATAAAATTCAACCTTTTTTTTAACTTAAAGGGGGGCATTAAGGAGTCGTTATCGTACGTCACAATTAATGTCAACAGTGTCAAAAATTAAATTACATTTCTACGTACCTTCCATATTATTTAAAATCGACTTCATATTATTACAAATTAAAATAAATTCAAATAAATTTTATTTTCAATTTACAAAAATTTACAAAAATAATATTAATTTTTGTAATATTATTAATTAAATTAATTTTCCTGCTTTATTGTTTATTAAAATTATTTATTTCAACGTTTTTTCGAAGATATATTACAGGGAAGAAACGAATTTTTTAACTCAAAATCTAAATAAAAAGAAATTAGTCATGTCTTATATTTCGGACCTGATTTCAAATACTACAATCTGAATCTATAATTTTGAGATACAAAATTGGTTACTTCCCCGTAGTGTATCTTGAAAACAAATTGAATAATACAAATAATTTCAACAAACACTAATTTTACTGAATTTGGCTAAAAACCAATATTGATAATAAATGTTATTAATTAATTCCTAATTTAAAAATTAATTTTAAAATAAAAATAGGGGGTTGAAATAGGGGGTTGGGAGCCCCCCTAGTATTTTATAAATAAATTTACAACTTTATTTTATTTTAAATTTTCATAATAAAAATTTTTTTTTCTTTTCTTCTTTTTTTTGATCTAGTTTTAATCTTTTTTTTCTTTTCTCTTTTTT